GCTATAACACAGTGTGAAAATATTACCTGTCTGCCAGTCTCTAACTTGTACCAGACTTTGAAACAGGCACCAGAGGGTAAAACAACTTGTCCTCGCAGAAGCACAGTACACACTGCCAGAGCCTCTGCCCCACTACGGGGGCCGAGGTGCAGATGAGGTGACCTCCCCAGCAAGAGCAGCTCCTTGCCACTCACATCTTTTCCCTGGTGCCATTATCTCCCTAACTTTAGACTCTGGTGTTTTCATTTCTGGGACCCTTTCACTGATACAACTGAGTCTCCAGACTCCTCAGGCTGTAGCCTGAATGAATGAGCTTCACTGAGCTGCAAGGTTGGAGTAAGTTAGAGCAGGCAGTGATCCCGAGCAACCAACGCCAGCTGAGGTGCTTGTCCTGAGTTCTGCCTTGATGAAGTCATGAGTATGACCCCACGAGAGACCCCCACAGAAACACATCCCCAGGACTGGGGTATGGGTATCCAGGACAGACACCAAAGAGGAAACGATACAGGGAGAAGAGTAGGAAAGAAACCGACAAATAGAAGGGTGGAAGGAACCATGTGCCAGGAGGACATATCCACACCCAACCACAAACACAGGCCACCAGCAAATGTAGGACCCTGGTTCCTAACAGCTACAGAAAGTGAGGGCTCTGAGCCACTGAATCAAGATTCTGAAATGAAATACATGGCCCAGCTAGGGGTGACAGATGTCCACCAGACAGATACCATACCCGACCAAGTATGGTAATAAATGGTTGCTATAAACCCCCAAGTTTGGACACAATTGTTATATAGCACTGTTGTAACAATAAGTCACTGATACAATGGCATCTGGCAAATAAAACCCCTACTCTAACCTCAGTGTCTAGCCCAGCTCCTTTCCAGAACTGTTCAAAGTTCAGATGCTGTTCAGAGTTCAGGAGGCAAACACTGGAAACATAAGAACCCAGCAAAGCCCTCCCACCCCTTCCCCACCATGTGCCAGAAGAGGAGGGGAAGGAGCTGGTGAGGGAATGGGGCCTCCACAGGTGGATTTCCAAGGCTGGAAAAGAGGCTTCATCCCGAGTACCAAATGTGAGTCAGTGCCCAGGAAGCTGAGTGGCAGAGGAGTCACAGCCCGTGTCTAGCCTCTGTAGGAAAAGAGGCTGCGACCCATTAGCTGTGACTACACTGCTATGGGACTGGCGGAAGTTGCACATTTGGTACTACTAAGTTGGATGTGACATCCAGCTGCACAAAAGCCAAGGTGACTGGGTAGGAGATGGGGATGTAAGGGAGGGAGAGAAAACAGACAAACATAAAAGAATACTTGCCATCAGGGTGTGCTTCCCGAGGCCTCAAAGGCACCATGTAGAGCCCTCAGTCCTACACCCAGGTATTAATATTCCAGGGAACCCTTAGCAACAGGCCCTGACATCTGCTCTGTTACTATGAAACAGGAAAACAGGATGATAACACAGAGATAAGGTGAGCCCAGACATCAACATTTCCCCTACTTGTCAGGCGCCTGGAGGATGAAAGAGTCAGACAGGAAGCCTCCGAGGCCTGTCTGAAATGAGGGAACCACTCACTTGGAAGGGTCTTGGGCTCATTATGCACCTGGTAGAACCTGAGTGGATTTGGGAGATGAGATAGGAGCCCCAGGGAAACCAGGGCCTGACAAACGTCCCTAAAACTGCCCTGTCATCATGCATCTTGCCAGGTATGCTTCTTCAGGGTACCTGTCCTCTGCTCTTCCCGTCTTTGCCCACACTGTGGCAAAAGCTTCCTAATGGGACTTCAGACCTCCTGGGGCTCAACTTCAACCACCCTTCATAGGCAGCCAGAGAAGTTTTCTCCACAGTTTAGACCATGTGATTCCCCTGTTCAAAAACCATCAGTGGCTCCCCATTACCATAGGGGAAAATCCAAGCTGTGCTCAAAGCTGTCCAGGATTTGATCCAACCCACCCTTCCAGTCTCACCTGCCACCAAATCCCTCCAAAAAACTCAGGCTCAGCCACTGGAAGCTGAACATGTTGCTGGCACTCAGTCCTGTCCCCTGCACCTACTCATCTATAATGATTTTTCCTCCTACTGACCCTCTACAGATGTCCAGAACACCTCCTCTGAGAATCCCTAGCTCCTTCCTATTCACTCACCTTGGTCTGGCCCAAACTCCCTCCCCCAATTTCATACCTGTATCCTAGGGCATCTCTGATCACAGCTCTGGGGATGCATCTGTCTCTGGGTCCCTGGGCTAGCACATTGCCCAGAACATGGTCCAGAGCACTTTTAAGGAACAAATACTAACTTCTGCCACAGCCCAAGGAATAAGGTCCAGTCTGCTCGGTGCAGAATTCAAGGCCTCACAGTGTGACTCCACCTTCTCAACCATCTTCCTGCCACACAGGCCCATCCTCTGAATGGGTCTTGCCTGTCCTGCCTCTGCAAGGTGGTTTACACTGACTAAAACTGTGGGATATCTAGAAAGGACTCCAACTGTGGAAGAATGGTCAACAATCATACAATATCAAAAACAACAACAACAAAAAAAAACCACCAAATGACCTGGACAAGGGTGTACACAGCAAGATCAGGTGCAGGAAGTGGAACCAGTCCACACAGGGATGGCATAATGTCTCAATGATGTACTGACATGGCAAATGCAAAGGAATGTGTCAGGGAAGGACTGGAGATTACAGGTGAATTTATTTCTCTAATTGTCTTGAAAGGATGATTTAGCGACTGTTAAACAAATGAGGGCATGTGACCGGTCTTTCTGGCCCACTCAGATTCCTCCTCTTCAGTGGGCTCTCGAGGCCTTGCAAGACTCCTGCAACCTTTGTTGCCTCTGTCCTTCTAAGAGTCGTCAATTCTGGACATCACGTGACTCATGCCATTGTGCCTCCCTAGTCACAGAGCTATTATTATTGTCCTATTATTATCCTCAGTAGGGCAAGAAATTGTGACTTTTGGTTTCACTGCATCATCTATTCGCTGCACACACACTGGGTACTGACTGTGTACCAGGCACGCTCCTGTAGCTCCATCTCCTGCTTAGGGGCTGGTCATGGGTTGATTTTCTTTGTACACCCACAAGTTTCACAGGTGCACCTATAGGAGTTCACATCTAATGCTGCAGGCTCTTTTTTTAAATCCAGAAAAGTAAATCCTCCAGAATATTTAGTGACTTAAAATATCCCAACAGACCCCAAATCACTGCCTGTCTTTTTGTCTAACTTGAAACCATTTTTTAATTTCCAGGGCAAAATGCCATGCAAAACCTCCACCTAAAACGAGATGCAAAATATCCTATTTCCCCTCTCCCTTCAAGCTCTGCTCTGCCTATGCGTCCCAAGAGATGCAGCCTGCTTTTGTCATTTCTGAAAGGCCTGATGCTGAGCAGGTAACACTCCCAAATCAAGGCAATCAGCATTGAAGGCAGCAACTCCAGGGTAAGCAAGATCCCAGGGCAAGAGTCACCCTGTGAAGGCACAGGAAGGAGGGGAACCTCGCAGGCTGACTTCTTGCCCCTAAGCAGTGCTCTGCGGCCACTGCCCCTGCAGTATCTGTCTCCTAGAGTGGATGCCATCAGGTACTACACACAGGGTGAGTTAAAACAGCTCTAAGTCTAGAAGGTCAAAACTGAGCTACCACCAGGGTTCAGCTCTCTTTGAAGGATGAAAGGAAGGATGCGTCCTACGCCTCCTGCTAAACACCTGTCTGGTGTTTGCCGGCAATGCTCTGCACTCCCTGGCTCGCAACTACCTTCCTCCAATCTCTGTCCCCACCACTAGACACTCTTGCCTCTGTGGCTGTCTTTCTTCTGTCTCTCTCCTCTTCTAAGGTCACTCATCATGTTGGATTAAAAGCCCACCCTACTCCAGAATGATCTCATCTTAAATACTGACATCTGCAATGACCCTATTGCCCAATAAGGTCACATTCGGAGGTACTAGACATCAGAACTTCAGCATGATCTTTTGAGGGAAAACTATTCAACTCATAATGCGGGATCCAGCATGCAGAGCCCCAGCCCAGGGCTAGAATTAGAATTTAGCTCAATGGCTACATCAGTCTGTGTGCACAGATGTGGAAGCCGGTCTAAAATGCCCCCTGGCGTTCCTGACACATGCAGGACCATGATAGGGATATGCTGTATATACAAAAAGAGAATTCAGGAAAACAACCTCCTTTGGTCATTGCTTGTCTTGGAGCTCTTAACAAAGGATCCATGAACTTGGATGAGGAAAACAAAGTCTGTCTTTATTTTCATTAACCTGTAACTGAAACTTTCTATTTTCTTTAATTATAAGTGTAGTCAACATGTCAGTCATATTGTCATGGTCATCAGTAGGATTGCAGATGTTTTTCCATCACAGAAGAGAGTTGCACATATCTTAAAATATTTATGCTCATTGCTACTTTGAAATTGCAATCGTAATTAGACTTACTGCAAAGCTGCTACCTTAATGGATCAACAAAGAAGCACGTAGACTACTATATTACAAGCTTTTAAAAAACATCTTGATAATTATACTGTAATATGAATACAATTAGTTTCCTATGAATACTGTTTGTGTGTTTAAAACCATTATTTCAGTAGACTGTCAAAAAAGGGATGCACAGCACAAAAAGAAGAGGAGGAAAAGGAGGACGGGGGAGGAGGAGAAGGAAATACAATTAGAACTTAGCTCAAGTTATAGGAGTAATAGCAAGCCCTCAGTGTAAGCAAGTCTCTGCTTAGAAAATGCCCAAGTCCTCCTAAGGGCTGCATGGCACCTGGCTTGAGACGTGCAGTGAGGGACATTAAGGTTGTCTGTCTCCTATTACAGAAATAACCTGCTCCCATTTGTGTGATTTATGTGGGTCTGGTAAGTCCCAGGCAAACAGAATTTTTGCAAAGGAAATCTGATTCTAGCTCACACCTGGATGTTGCTTATTGAAGGAGTCTAAGAGAAACCTCTCCGTAATAAAGCAGAGAGAAGCCCCTGGAAAATCTGGCTCGCCCCATCCTTACCTGCTAGGCCAAGTCCCAATCCTCAGGTTTGCTGACAAGGGCAGTTCTCTGAGTCCCCAGGAGCACCTTCCCCAGGCAGCTGCTCCTAGGTGGCTCTTCTCTGGACCTGCCAACCACTTTTCTCCATCCTTCTTCCACCCAGGCTCCAGCCCTGGCTGGGTGTTGGCTTAAAGCCAGCAGCTAAGGCAACCCCAGCTGACCCATACTCCTATCCGTGGGCCAGCTGTCCCCTCTTGTTCATGGAAACACAAACAGACGTTTCTCTGTTCCAGTTCCAAGGTTAAGCACTGCACTGCCTAGGAACCAGCTGTCTGCTTCTCCGCACACCCTCTGTGCCCCTGCTAGAGTCTGAGACCCCGCTTACGTACCCATTACAAAGGACTATGTGTAAGTTGCTGAGGACTCGGGCAACAGCAGACCCAGAGAGGGGGCCACCCCAACATGGGCTTGGTACTGAAAAGATGGGCAGGGAGAATAAACAACCAGAACCACTGGCATCTTGGCAGGAGTTTTGAGGCAGTTAAAAGGAGCCACAAATTTAAAAATGCCCTGCACATGCTCAGCCTGACCCTGAGCTGTCAAGCTGGGAAAAGAAAACTGGCCGGCTTTACAGGTGCTGCCTACTACAGGTACAGTACTTGCATGAGCCCAGCCAGACTTATCCTAAGCCCAAGGTTACGACACGACTACCATCCCCGTCCAGAGAAGAAGAAACCAGCCCTTGAGAGGTGCAGCTACTTACTCAATGCCACACAGCTGGCACCTGGCACCCAGTTTGGCCTAAATGAGCTGGGTTGAGCCCCTGATCTTTCTTTCACCCTCTCTGCCTCCAGAAAGCCCTGCTGCAACTGGTGGTGCCCAATAAAAGCAATAAACCGGGGGATATTCTCCAAGCTACTTGCATGCATCCAGTACTTGGGAGTGTGCTAGGCGCTCACACAAACTGTCAAGCAGGAGCTCCAAGGCCAGAGCAGCCCGGAAGGTACTGCAGAGGAGGTGCATGGGGGATAGGTGGGAGCATAGGAATTAGAGGTGCAGAGCCAGTATTGCTCTTATTTTTACATCCACCCCAATCCACAAAGCAAAGAAGCACAAAGGGAACAGTCTCTGACAAGTCCTTGGGCCCTTTTCAAAGATGACCCCTGCTTCCCACCCTTCCCACTGCTGACCCAAGTGCTCACCAGACCTCAGTCATCCTAGGATGCTAAGGATTCCCTGCCTTCAGACTAACCTACCACCAGAGGGCCCTCTAATGGCCCTGCTCTGCTCCAGTAGTTTCAAATTAAGCCCACTGTTCTCAACTGGGAGGGCATAGCCTTCCACAGGCTCCATCTCACCTTTCTAAATGTGTCTCCAGACAGAAACACTTGGCATCAACCCCATGTCATTCCCACATTTCCACAGCCTCTGCCCCAGCCACATGAAATGCTCTTTCCCTATTAACATCATTTTTACCTCTTTGAAGCATCTCCAAGTGGTTTGTGAACATGTCTGATTATCTCCTACTGGACCAAATGCTCCCTGTGAGCAGGACATACCTCCTGGCCACATGGTACCCAAAACTCAGAGCACAGGAATAGAATTGAGAACACAGAACTAAACCCACATGTAGTCAGCTGATTTTCAAAAAGGGTACAAGACCACTTGATGGGGAAGAATGGTCTTTTCAACAATGGTGTTGGGACAGCTGGAAGGCCATATGCAAAGAATGAAGTGGACCCTTACATCACATCATTTATAAAAGTTAAATCAAAATAGTCCAAAGATCTAAACCTAAGAGCTAAAACTAAACAACTCTTAGAAGAAAATACACAGACAGGTTAGTCTTCATGCCTTCAGATTGGGCAGTGATTTCTTAGATACCACCAAAAACATAAGCGACAAAAGAAAAAATAGGATAAATTGGACTTTACCAAAATTAAAATATTTCAAATGACAACATCAAGATGAAAAGATAACCATAAAATGGGAGAGAATATTTGAAAACTATTTAATAAGGATCTAGTATCTATAATATGTAACTCTTACAACTCAACAAAAATGACAAAAATTTCAATTTAAAATAGGCAAAGAATTTGAATAGACATTTCCTGAAATAAGATACATAAATGCCTCAAATATCAGATGCAAAGATATTCAACACCATTAGCTATCAGTGAAATGCAAATCAGAACTAGTATGAGATTATTTCATCCCTGTAATAATCAAACAAATAGACAATAGCAAGTGTTGACAAGGATGTAGAGAAACTGGAACCCTTGCCTAGGAATATAAAATGTGGGAAATAGTTTGAGAGCACCTCAAAAAGTTAAATCTAGATTATCATATGACCTAACAATCCCATTCCTAAAGTATACCCAAAAGAATGAAAACAGGTGTTCAAATGAAAATTTCTATGCACATGTTCACAGCAGCACTATTTGCAATGGCCAAAAGGTAGAAACAATTCAAATGCCCATCAACTAATGAATGGATTAATAAAATGTGGCATAATAACACAATGCAATATTATTTGACTAATAATGGTGGGACATGCCTATGATCCTAGCACTCCAGGAGGCTGAGGCAGGAGGTCACAAGGATGCAGGGTTCTTTTGTAAAATGTTCTAAAAATGATTATGGTGATGGATTCAAATATCTTCAACCATCCTAAAAGCCACGTGAATTGTACCTCAATAAAGCTGTCTAAAAAACAAACATGTGGCACAAAGAAGAATGAACCTGGGCTCTAAACAGAGTAGCCAGCTCCAGTCTCCAGGGGGCAAGAAGGAGCCACTTACTGTCAATGCCTAATAGTCTGGGGACAGATTAATTCCAAATTAACCCTGGTTAAAACAAACAAACAAACAAACAGATGGTGCATTTGTGAAAACACTGTGTGAGGGAAGGAGGCAGAGAGGAGGAGGGAGAAAGGGGGAAAAAGAGAAGCAAATATGGTTAAAAGCTAATAATTATAAGGTGAATCTAGGTGAAGGGATGACAGGGGTTCTTTTTTGTAATGGTTGAAGACTTTCATAAAAACTTTCATAATGAGATCTCAATGGCTAAAACTGGAAGGATCTAAATAATACAAATTATAATCAGATTGGATTTTAACCCATAAAAGATAATAAATACCTACTCTTTATGATATGTGAATTAGTGAATCAACAGAAGAGAGGAGACAGCTCTCACAGAAAAGTTCCAATTAATAAATACAGAAGGAATGGAGGAAACTGAAAATCACCAAATCACCACTAAAACACCCTGGAAGTAACTGCTATGGGCAAGATGCACTGAGGGATGCTGACATCAGTAGGAGAGGGGAGAAGCAGCAGGATATCTGCATAATCTCAAAGTGTCATCCCCAGGACACTGATTAATTATAAAGCAAAAGATGCAAGGAGGGAGACCCAACATGGCTTTGGTGGGACTCTAGCCAAAAATGCATCAACCCAACCTAATCATGAGAGAGTACCAAACTCAAATGGAGAGATGTCCTACAAAGAGGGATAACCAGTTCTCTTAAAAAATGTGAAGGCAGGGCCAGGGATTTAGCTCAGTGGCTCTGCTGCCTGCCTTGCAAGCACAAGGACCCAAGTTCGATCCCTGGTACCAAAAATAAACAAACAAACAAATAAATAAATAAAATGTAACGGTCATGAAAAAGAGAAAAATGAGGTGCTGTGATAACAGGAGTCACTGAATGAAGGACATAGGAATTCTTTGGAACATTTTCCCAAGTTTCCTGCATGTTTAAATTATTTCAAGTTTTAATTAAAAAAAAACTAAAAATGTTCATAATAATCAAAGAAGCAACTTTACACTAAAGATGTGCATTTTTCAGAATTGCCTATACCTAGGGAATAGGGATTTAGCTCAGTGGTTCTGCTGCCTGCCTCACAAGCACAAGGACCTGATCCAGGTACCAAAAAAAAAAAAAGAATCGCCTATACCCAGGGGCCATGTGGTCCTTAGGCTGGTGCCTGAGGGGTCACCCCCTTCCCCCCACAAAGCCCCTGGGACAGAGGGGGGAAAGGGGTGCCAAGAGCCACTGTGGGTCTCTTCTGCTCTGTGGATCTGCACTGCGGGAGCAGGAGTGCACTGAGGAAGTGGGGAGAGTGAGGGAACTGTGTCCCAGGTGTTTGCTTATTTCTGAAAGAAAGGAGAGCTCCACAAAGGGAAACCAAAGACGAGTAGAATTTCCCAAATGGCCAAATGTGGCCTTGTCTTTGTCAAGCAATTTATATGAGTTTCATTGCTTGAAACTATGTCTCTGTATTATTTCTACATTTTAGGATAGCATGGATTATAATACTGGATGACATGGAGGGGATGTTGCTGAGGACTGAACCGGGACCTCACACATGCTAAGCACACGCTCTCACTGAGCTATACCCATTAACCAGGTTAGTGAAGATCACCTTTGTCCCAGGACTGCTATACTATAGACTTTTTTCAGTACTGGGGATTGAACCTAGGGGAGCTTTACCCAAGGTTTTTTTTTTTTTTTTTCCATTTTGAGCTACATATATAGAGCTACACTCAGTTTTGTAGAAGTTATTAATTATCCTTCTAGAGAGTTTTTTTGTTTTTGTTTTTTTGTGGATGATACTAGGATTTGAACTCAGGTTCTTTGCACTGAACTATATCCCTATGTCTTTTAAAACTTTTTTAAATTTTGAGACAAGTTCTCACTATATTGCTAAGTTGCCCAGGCTGGGTTCTAACTTGTGATCCTGCCTCAGCCTGCCAGAGTTCTGGGATTACAGGCTTATGCTACCACATCCAGCTTCCTAGAAATTTATAAGCCTACTCCTTGAACCACAAGACATAACTGAGCCCACACCTGGGCTCCAGGACAGGAGCACACTATGAGTGATAAAGTTCATGCAGTTAAAGTGTTAACAGAATCTAAGTGGAACGCACGCAGGTGTTCACCGCAAATTCTTTCAACTCCTCTGTACATTTTTTTGCCTGGTACCAGGGATGGAACTCAGGACCTCATACTTGGGAGGCTGGTGTGGAGCCACTGAGCTAAATCCCCCACCCTTTCTCTGTATATTTTTAAAATAGTAAATGATTATGAAACTACAAATGAGTATTTGTGGCATTCAATCCACAAAACCAGATTCACACCCTCAGTGGGAGAAATCAGCAAGCCCAGGAGGCTCCATTTGCCTGTCCCTCCTCCCTACTGTGGTTGCAGGTGACAAACTAGGTAAAAGGACACCCGAAGGAAGAAGCCAAGGGACTTC